TTAAATATCCTTAAAACATTTTTTGGGGGGGCTGGAGATTTAGCTCAGTGGCACCAAGACTGCCTGGCAAGTGCAAGGTCCTGAGTTCAATTACTAGTACCCAAAAACCAAAAAACCAGTATTTATTTCCAATTGGCTGCAGAATACTTCATCTGACTGATTTTTCACCTACCTATCTAGCTAATTTCTCCTTATTTATTCTTCCAGTTCCTCACTTCCTTTATTTTATTTTACATCATCATCATCATAGACAGGGTTTCACTAAATAACACAGTTAATCATTGTCTTTTTCTTAAAACATTTTTTTTCAGGGCTGGAGATTTAGCTCAGTGGCACCACGCCTGCCTGGTAAGCACAAGGGCCTGAGTTTGATCCCCAGTACCAAAAACACAAACAAACAAAAACCATAATTCAGGCTGGCCTTGAACTCACTATGTAACCCAGGCTGACCTCAAACTTGCAGCAATCCTGTTACCTCAGCCTCCCAAGTGCTGAGATTACAGGCATGAACTACCATGCCAGGCTAAACTAAGTGTATTCTTAAATCAAGATTTTAAGTTTTTCTGACCCTTTTACCTCAAACCTCTTCGCTTCAGATAGTTACACAGCTAACTTTCCCTGTGACATAAAAGACTCCCTTACTTCCTTTGAATCATTACTCAAAAGTCACCTTCTCTGTAAGTCTTCCACTGAAAACTATCTAAAATTTCAAACCCATCCTTCATATTTCATCTCCCCTCTCTCCTTTATTTTCCCCTTAGCATGTGTCATTATCTAACATCCTATGTAGTTTACTCTTTTTTTTTGCTTGTTTTTGAGATGGAATCTGGCAATGCTGCCCAGGCTGGCCTCAAGTTCACGATCCTCCTGCTTCAGCCTGCCAGGTAACTGGGATTAAAGATGTGCACTACCATACCCCGTTTAATGACTTACTTAAATGTCTAGATCATTCTTTGGCATAAAAGCTTCTTAAAATTTGACTTTTAATCTTGTCTTTTTAGTGCACTATTCTATGGCAGAACAGCAACATCTGGAACATAAATAACACTCAATAAACACTTCTTGAATGAATGACCTCTAGTCTGTAAATCCTATACATGAATGATTCAGAAGAACTCCTTCCTGGCTTCAGAATTCTGACTATTTTCATTAGTGTAACTATAAGTCATCTTAATAAAATAATTGGTTTGGTATACTGATAGTCCTAATTGTGATTTTACTGTATTAGAGTCACCTAGATTATTTAAAATATATAATTACGGACCCCACATAGGACTCACTAAATAACAGTATGCAGAGGTTGAACCAAAAAACTTAAAAAATCAACCATGAGTCTTTTTTTTTTTTTTTTTTTGGTACCAGGGATCGAACTCAGGATTTTGTGCTGGCAAGGCAGGCGGCAGCACCACTGAGCTGAATCCCTGGCCCTCCATGGGTCTTTACAATAGCCATTCATTCATTCATTTATTGGAGACAGTGGCTCACTACATAGTCCAGCCTGGCCTTGGAACTCCCTACTATGTAGCACAGGCTGGCTTCGATCTTGTGCTCCTCCAGTCTCAGCTTTCTGACGGCTAGAATTACAAATGTGAGCCATGTGACTGCCACAAAAAATATTATTTTTTTTTAGTACTGGAGATTGAACTCAGGACCTTGTGTTTACAAAAGCAGGCATAGTACCACTGAGCTAAATCCCCGGTCCTACAAAAAATACTCTTAATGCTCCTATCTAAATGCTTCTCTGGGCATAACTGTAGGATACTAGAAGCAGACCTGAGTCATTGAATATTTTAAACTATTGTATCGTCAATTTGTTTCCTCTCAAAAGTATATTCCCCTACATTTTCAGTATACAAGAGATTTTACTTATTTAAACTTGACAACACTGTGTATTCCTCATCATATTCAGTCTAATAGGTGAATATAATCTTTATGTATTCAAAATTACCGATCTTTCCCTTTATGGCTTTAGGATTTCATCTCGTATTTAATTTATAAAAGGCCACCTTTTACCAAAGCATTTCCTGTTAACACTTTGTTAAACATTCATATCTTTCATTCAGAAACCACTTTAATGGAATGATCAACCTCTATGTCTTTTAAATGTGATTAAATTTTAAAAAATTGTGATTAGGTCAGAGGTGATACTCTAGCAAAAATTAATGAAAGATGGTAATTCTAGAGCAGCTGACAAATATTACCTTAAGAAAAATTATTGTAAATATAATTTATGTTCCTAGTATTTGTACACTTAATTAAAATATAAAACAATAAGAGCACAGATGTTTAAAGGATCCTCTGTTTTTTTGGGAGGAGCAGTACTAGGATAGGCTTCACACTGAGCTACAAACCAGTCCTTTTTGAGATACAGTCTCATTAAATTGCCCAGACCAGGCTCAAACTGGCAATCCTCCTGCCTCAGCTTTCTATAGTGCTGGGATTACAGCACTGTATCACTGTACCCAACTTCACAAGTCTTTAAACATTAGATTTCTTTTTTTTTTTGTACCAGGAATTGAACTCAGGACCTTGCACTTTGTCAGGCAGGCATGGCACCACCGAGCTAAAACCCTGGCTGAACATGAGATTTCACTGAAACATTGTAGTTAATATCACAAATTCATTAACCAAACCTTGTAATCCAGTTCATGAATAATTAAGTTACAAATAGTAAAATCTCCCACTATTAAGTGCTATGGCCAATGTTAATTAAAACAGAAAGTATAAACAGTAGATCACTGAAGAATGCTCAAAGTAGACATTAAAGCCATGGGTTCTACAAGGAATGTTAATACACTTTGCATCTTGTGACTTGAATACAGCCTTGCTCATTTAACTAAGGCATCACAATAAAGCTATACAGTTCAGACTGTAAGTATGGCTCCACCATACAATTTTTTAAAATACAAAAATACAGACCCCCCCCAAGAAAAAACCATCTTACACTACTGTACTACAAAAAATGTTTATAAGATTATAAAAATGTGTGTATTTAATAGTGATGATTTTTTTTGTTTTGTTTTGTACTGGGGATTGAACTCAGGACCTTGTGCTTATGAGGCAGGAGGTGGCACCACTGAGCTAAATCCTCAGCCCAATCATGAATAATTTTTTTTTTCTTTTTATTGAGGTTATTGGTACAATCTAGGTATACAATACAATTACATTCATCATTGGGATTCTGTACCTTTACATAATAGGTCTTGATTCTCATTTTTCCCCTTGTCCCTGCCCTCCCTTCACCCCCTCCTCCCCTTCCCATTTACAAACACTTCATTTCCATTTTTTCAGTTTCTCATATTTTTTTCCTCTCCCTTATTACCTTTCCCCCACCCTCCCCACTTTCCCTACACCTTTAGCCCTTTACTTCCTATTTCACATTATTAATTGTCTCATTAGGATCCTGTGTAC